GAAAAGTATTGTAGAGAAAGTAATCATTCCTCCTGAGTTACTTTTGTTTCATTCTCCAGGGTGGAACTCTGTGTGCAGTTAACTATTATAAGATGTTCACAAGTGCAATGACTTTTTCAAAAACAATTTGCAAATATTGACTAAATTAAATTCTGGGTCATAAAAGTGTTCTCAAGAGTATATAGAGCCTGAAACATCATGATCTGCAAGCACACAGCTAAATTCTGGCGGAGGCTGCTGCAAAAACCCTGGACAGGAACTGCAGCTTCCAGGGCTGGGATGGCGGCTTTGATGGCTGGTGCATCTGACACCTAGGAAAGTGTGCCTGGAAAGTTAAATGAATGTTCACATGAGGTAACCTAATGCTAGAGAGAATGAGCTAAAAAGGAAAGTCGTATGAGACTGAAAAATAAATGCTGGATTGTAAGGCTAAGCCACAGTGCTACTTCATGTAGAGGGATGTGTTTCTATAAAAAAGAATTTATCCATAAAGATGAGTCATGTAATAGAGCAAACAAAAGCTGGGAGAATATAACTCCCCGACCTATCCTACAGAAAATTATAGAGAAAGTTCTACAAACTGGGAGAAAGAGACATAAATGAGCAGAACAACATTTGGGAAAGTACTGGAGTCATTGTCAAATGTAATTATGCAAACAAATCAAAATTCTTCAATACTGTAAGCATGGTAAAACTATATACATATACATATAATTAAAAGAGCAGTAATTACATTGATATATTAAAGGACAGGAAATATATAAAGGTATAAAAAGAATATCAAAACTGCAAAATATGAGAAGAAAGAGAATTTTCTTATTATTAAACCTATTTTAATTTTTGTTTGTCTTTTCTTTATGCTCACAGCTATAAGTTGCAGTCACTTCAAAAAGGGTTATGATGTACAGATGTTTCTCTCTAAGCCTCATGCTAATCTGTATCTCTCTAATACTTCTCTCTAATAATTAAGACTCATTCATCTTTAATAATTAATCTCTAATAATTAATCTCTAATAATCTCTAATCTTTTAATCTCTAATAATTAAGTCTCAGTCATCTATGTCATCTTCAGAGTATATCTAAGATTTCAGAGAGACTTGGAATACAAATTATCATTTGAAATGGAAAGGAAATTCAAGAAAAATATGAAAGGCTTAATATCTCAGGAAAGAATTTTAGAGTGAGTAGGTTTGGATAGGTCACAATATCTCTCTAATATTTCTGTCTAAATCTCGTGCAAGACTCTGTAATGGACAAACAGGAAATAAGCAAGTTATCAAACCATACTGCTAGAGAACATCACAAATATTGAACAAATGGGAAAAATAAAGAAAGCAACTAGAAAAATTTTTTTAAAATCTGTAAAACCAGTGATAAAATAGGTGTGGTAAGACATTATCTACTAATAACTATCTTAAATGTAAATAAAGTTCTCTGAATAAAACAGAGCAACTAAATGTATTTGAAACTCAAGGAATATGTTATTCATTATAATTTATTTGGAAGCTTTGGTCCTGGTACTCCAGGAGTAGGCTAGAATTTGCTCTTGTCAATTGCTGTGTGACTAGCTACCTGGTACCCGGAATAGTTTGTTTGTTACTTGTCATTACTGGCACTCACAATGCTTCCAAGAACCACTGAAAACCAAATGGAGGCACGCTCTATATTTTGTCTGCAAAAAATTCACTGAATATTTTACAGATGGAAAGGAAATGAATGAAATAAGATATTCTGCAAAACTTGAAGAAAAGAAAGGAGTAACATGCTTCTTCCAGAATGGACTTCAAGTAGAAAAAAAGTAAAAAGGAGAGAGGAAGGTGACTCTGTAATGACAAAGGGGTCAATTCAGCAAAAAGAAAGCAGAAACTCACAAGCTGAGTTAGCTCTAGGATCTTTTGACACAGCCCAGACAGCAGATACCACAGTGGTAGGCAATGATCAAAAGAAAGTTGAGAATTTCACTATTTGTTGTGGATATAGAACTCAATCTTCCTATAATTCTCAGTTTTACAAAGAATTCCCATGGAAAATAGAAAATGAAGTTATTTTTATAAAAATTGTGAAAGTTTGGGGGAGATTCTTTTTTTTTTGGTACTGAAAATTGAACTCGTGACCTCATGCTTGCCAGGTAGGTGCTGTGCCATTGAGCTAAGTACCCGGCCCTATGAAACTTTTTGAGAAAGATAGTTATTTGTGTACAAGTCCTAAGTGAGTCATCCTTGCATATTTGAAATATTTTAGTGGGGAAAAGTCCTCGATACCCGTGTGACTCTAGACTTGCCTCACTATTCTCTGTTATACAGAGCCTCAATATTTAGCAACAACATGTAGTCAGCAATGACCTTGTAAGTTGTCTTACTAGAGACTGTAGGGAGTAATAAAAAAATAGAACACGTTGGTCTCATTTCTAAAGACCTAAATGTGATAGAAAAACTCTTCTATGAATATGCTTAACACAATTCAGAAATTGAAGTACCAAGTGTGAACTATAGGGTACAGTGAAATCAGCGCACCATGGGTGAACCGAGCAGTGGGAGAGCAGGGCATGAGAATGCCGGCTGAAAAAACTGGCCTGTAAGCTTCCATGAGTTGTGATGTTCAGAGATTCATGAAAGTAAAAAAGAAAAAACTAGACAAACAGCAAATTACAAATGGATTATTAAAGTGTGTTATATTCTTGAAAATTGAATATTATCTAGCCACGAGTTGGAATGAAATTCTGCAAAGGGTCCCCAAAGGCAGAAATTTTGAACATATTATGCCAGGAGAAGAGCAGTATAAAATGGCATGTGGGATATTCCTGTTTATACCTGATGATTGGCCTACGTACACCATCAAAGTCAGAAAGGAGAATAAGGTTTGCCAGGACCTGAGAGAGGATTCAGAGGACTGGACACTGCTAGGTGTGTTTTCTGGTTTTTGGTTTTTGTTTTGTACTGAGGTGCTGAAAGATGTTCTGGAAATGGACAGTCCTGGTGGTTTCTCAAGCTTGTGATTATACTAAAACCAAAATTTATTTACTTTAATAGTGTAATATTTAAAGTTCCTAAGCCATATCTCAAAAATATCATTAAAATGTAGTATTACTCCGCTCAAATGGTGGAAGAGTTTTAAACGTGGAAAAATTTGAAAAATTAAATGGACTTGCAGATGATTAGGGACCTATATGATTTCATGAAATTCTGCTTTAACTGGATAAGGATGATACAGGTTATATCCTGAAGAAAACTAACGTATATTGTCATTTTTGACTAGAATTTAAATTTGCAGTTTTCATCATGACATAGATAATGTCAGTGACAATAGCAAAGAATTAAAGCTCAACTTCTGTTTAAGAAAATTCATGTATACACCAGAGAAATATAGAAACATAAATGTAATTAATCACATGTTTACATATCACCAAAGCCTGTGGGAAGGTGCTTCAGAGAGTTTAATTCCCAAATTCTATCTTACATAATAATATGCTGTCGACGTGGTGCTCAGCTACCAAAGATCTATTCACCACAGGTAAGTGCCTCAGTTGCCAGGGTTAAAAATGTGAGGTTGAAAACTACCTTTAAAAAAAGATTATAAATGAGTTATTTTATGCCAATTTAGTAAAGTAAATTTTAAATACAATGTTTCAAAACAGCATTTCCTACTCAGAACTAGAAAACTCTGATTGAACTTATTATCCACAAAGCAACCTTTTAGTTGTATTTTAATCAATATTCACAGGCAAGCCTCTACTCATCTTATCATTGTGCAGGTACCTACATCAGTTCACTGGTTTTATTATTTCTATGGGTTAATAAGTTATAAAACAATTGCATCACATTATAGATAACAATATATGCATTTCAATTCCATGTGAATCACATGCCATAGTTATCTAAACCAAAACAACAGGAAATAATTAAGAAATAAAAAATAGATACTCAAGTATACATCTCCTGCATGCTAATTTTCTGATAGCCTTCAAATTCAGGCAAACATGCACATATACATGATGAAGTTAAGCTTTTATATCCCAGTACTATCTATTGTTCCTTATATTGTAATCATCTTTAAAATAAAAAAATCATCTAAAATCTACTAAATTAGGAGTGCTATATCATGTGCTACATTATGGTGCATACACTTCCATTTTAAAATTTCTCTAAAATGTCAAGATTTGGCTCAGATTATCCTTGAGAATAAGCAAAACGTTGGCATAAATGACAAACCACTTTCAGAAAAGAGTTAAGTTATACTTGTTTCATATGCTGGGTTATCAAACACTAAAGATCACACTGACCATGAGACAGTAGAATATAATTTGCTTTTTATTAATCAGTGATATATTCATTGTTTCTACAGTCAACACACTGTTTCTTAAAACCAATCAGAACTTTTGAGGACCATCACAATTGGAATTATTTTGTGTCTGTTCTGATGTGTCTAAGAACTCTCCATGCCTTGCACCTGAGTCTCCCAAGACCGATGTTTATTTCATATTATTTTGAAAATGTACAGAAATTTCAATACACTGGAAAATATACTTCCTGAAATAAAGGAAAATATAGACCAGAGAAATTAAAGATTGTACACAGAAAAACATCCCACATCAATGGTATGTAGATTTCAATCAGATTTTCTCATCTGCTTTCTCAGATTTTTTTGTTATTTTCAAAGATGCAAGGGGCTGGGGATTTAGCTCAGCGGCAAAAG